AACCCGCCACCTTAGGTGTATGTGGCTGGTGCCTTAGCCACTTGAGCCACAGGCGCCAAGCCAAAAAACCCACTTCTTATTTGGGCTTCCTTGCTCATTTGCTTTAACCAAAGTGAGTCAGGTGCAGTGGTTCATACCTGTAATCCTACTACTTTGAGAGGCCAAGGCAGGAGGATTGCTTGAGGCCAGGAGTTTGAGACCAGCCTGAGCAAAAGCAAGACCCCATCTCTGCAAAAAGTAGAAGTAGGCAGGTGTGGTGGTGTGCACCCATATTTCTAGCTGCTCAGGAGGTTGAGGCAGGAGGATCACTTCAGCCCAGGAGTTGAATGTTGCTGTGAGCTATGATGAAGCCATTGTACTCTAGCTCAGGCAACAGAGTGAGACTATGTCTCAAAAAACAAAAAAAACACCAAACCAAAAAACTGCTGGCTTGGCACGGTAGCTCATGCCTGTAATCCTAGTACTCTGGGAGGCCAAGGCAGGTAGATTGCTTGAGCTCACAGGTTGGAGACCAGCCTAAGCAAGAGCAAGACTCTGTCTCTAAAAATAGCTGGGCACTATGGCAGGTGCTACTCTCCCAGCTACTCGGGAGGCTGAGGCAAGATAATTGCTTGAGCCCAAAAGTTTGAGGTTGCTGTGAGCTATGAGACCATGGCACTCTACTGAGGGTGACAAAGTAAAAAAAAAAAAAAAAAAGCTATAAAAAAACCCACAGAGTAACACATGTGGTTTTTTGTTGATAAAAGTAACATTCATAGGGGAAAACTGGAAAATAGAAACTAAAAATAAGTTCACTCAGAAAGAACATCAACCACTATGAATATTTTGATGTATTTCCTTTATGTTTGTGATGTGTTTATATTTATAAACACACTTTTAAAATGGAATTAGTGGGCCAGGCGAGGTAGTTCATACCTGTAATCCCAGCAGTTGAGAGGCTGAGGCAGGTGGATTGCCTGAGCTCATAGGTTTGAAACCAGCCTGAGCCAGAGCAGGACCCCATCTCTAAAAATAGCCGGGTGTTGTGGTAGGCACCTGTAGTCCTGGCTACTCTGGAGGTTGAGGCAAGAGGATCACTTGAGTCCAAGAGTTTGAGGTTGCTGTGAGCTGTGACTCCATGGCACTCTACTGAGGGCGACAAAGTAAGACTCTGTCTCCAAAAAAAAAATAAATAATAAATAATAAAATGAAATTGGTCAATGTGTTTTTTTTATTTTTTGAGACAGAGTCTCACTGTGTCACCCTCTGTAGAGTGCTGTGCTGTCAAAGCTCACAGCAGCCTCAAACTCTTTTGGGGTTTTAAGTGATTCTCCTGCCTCAGCCTCCCAAGTAGCTAGGACTACAGGCGCCCACCACAACGCCCGACTATTTTTTTGTTGAAATTGTCATTGATGTTTAGTTGGCCCGGGCTGGATTCAAACCCACCAGCCTTGGTACATGTGGTCGGCGCCGTAACCACTGTGCTATGGGCACCTCTCTGGTCAATGTGGGTTTGTATCTTGTTCTTTTCACTTTATATTGTGAGCCTTTTAGTCTCCTCTGCCCTGCTGCCACTGAATAGTCCATTTGCTAAATCCTTCTTTTCAGCAGAGAGAAGAGGGAAGGAATCTATAATTTGAATGCCAGGCATTGAACACATATCTCTGAATTCTCACAACAACCCTGTGAGGTAGACATTATCATTTCTGTTTTACATTGAGATGACCAAGGCTTAGAGATGTGAAGTAATTTGTTAAAAATTACTTAACTTACTCAACTAGTAAGTGTTGGAGCTAGGACTCAAACTCAGGGCAGTTTACTCAAAATCTGTGGTTTTTCACTATACCATTTTGTTTCATAGCATCCTCTGACAGGCTTATAAACTATGAAAGCATTCCATACTCTTGCTGGAATTGAACATTTTTTATCCCATTTCTTATTAAATGTATCTAAATCAAACAATCAAAATAGCACTGATACAAAGCCCTGGGCCTAAAACAAAAAGACAATTCTTAGAAAAAAAGTAGTTTAGTGACCAGAAAGGCTGTTAGAGCATAAAATTGTTAAATGGCTTTGATGCGTTTCTGCTTCAGGCTTCTGATCACATATATCAGGTGCTTATCTGCTTAGAATAGGTAACATTTGTAAGATTCCCCAAGACTTGCCATAAAGCCGTGCCAAACTATGTTTTCTCTTTAACTAGATTATTCTGCATGACCTTTTTCTTCAGTGAATGTTCTAAAGGGGAGTTATCTGTATTTCTTCTTCCTTTCCTAGATAGAAACTAAGTTGTATGTTTTGTGCCACAGCCTCCTGATTTGTATGATACCAACATATCCCTCAGTATATCCCGAGATGCCTCTGTGTTTCAAGATGAGAGCAATATGTCTGTCCTGGATATTCCCACTGCCACTCCAGAAAAGCAAGTAACACAGGTAGAATGTGTTAACTTTTTCTCTTTGTGAGATTGGTAGTATGCCTGGAGATGGGGGAGGGGGGAGGTAAAGGTGCTGTGTAACATATATCAAGGATAACTGGGCCCCTTGGCCCTGGGAATAAAACTTAGAGATATCATTTCAAGGTGGGACGGTTACAGGTCATGTGACTAGCGTTGTCTTCTTTCTATCCCTATTGTTAGAGTCAGGCACTACAGAACTACAGGGAAGGCACAAGTATGAAATAAGTGTATGAGGCATCAGAGTAACCTAACAGGTGACTAGAAAGACCAACTGCATTCAGAGACAGTTCAAAATAATTGGCCTGCTACTTTATTATATGTATGTTACAATCTAAATTAAAATTATTTATAGAATTAAACTTAAAAAATAGGCCTTTTCTAGGGGTATCAGAAAATAGTACTTCTGAAGCTATAAATTCTATAGTTATTCTCAGCCAAACTTTTCCTGGGAAGTATGAAACCTAGGAGGGTTTTTCTATCCCAATGAGTCCAACATAAATTATAAGGAAAGCTTGAGTCAAAAAAGAAGAATCTTCTTATGATGGTATAGTAAGAGTAGACTAAGGACCTTCCCGTTCTTTGAGTTTTTACTCTGGCTGTGATTTCCAGAGCATGGGGGAAAATGCACATGCCTTGGGCTGTATAACAGCCCCCACTAGCAGTGGGGTTGGCTGGGATATTAGGGAGGAACATTCATCCTAGGTGAGAGCCCTTGGTTAACTCCTCCTACAGGCACGTCCCTCAATGATGTGCTATTTGTGTTCCTTACTCAGATGCGCCAGGGCCGAGGTAGGCTGGGCGAGGAAGACTCTGATGTAGATATTGAAGGGTATGATGATGAGGAGGAGGATGGGAAACCTAAGACTCCAGCCCCAGTGAGTATGCTTACAGAAAGCTTATGGTTACATTATACACCCTTATATGACAGGAGCCCCAACAGTACAGGGCAGGCCAAATCCCAAGGTGATATCAGAGGGTCTCCATAGTGAGCCCCAGTCTGACTTTAATCCTTGGAACCAGCTAAACAAGTCTATCCACCAAAATTACTTAACTTCTTGTGAGGCAGCAAGGGAGGGGGGTGTCTGGTGGTGGCTTCTGGTCTTTTACTTGGTCAGTTGATGAGGTTTTGATCCCCAACTGGTCTCATTCAGGAAGGTGAAGATGGAGATGGTGATCTTGCAGATGAAGAGGAAGGAACTGTGCAACAGCCTCAAGCCAGTGTCCTATATGAGGATTTGCTTATGTCTGAAGGAGAAGATGATGAAGAAGATGCTGGGAGTGATGAAGAAGGAGATAATCCTTTCTCTGGTAAGTCTTGACCATTGCTTCTATTTCTATATAGGTCACCATAGCACTCTCAGGGACTGGATAGAAACCGTTGATCACATAGGTTTTTATAAGAAGCTGCCTCTTTTATTGACGTTCCATTAATAGACATTAGAGTACCGAGCATGCTCTCATAGGATGAGCACATTATTATCCTTAGAGAAAGTAAAGAAACACAGTGTATTGGGAGGTACAAAAGACAACAGTGGAAAAGGCAATACCTAAGTAACAGCTTTGATTTGGATACTTGCTGAAGATGAGAACAAAGTGGTTATATGTGGCAATAGGGAGGGAAAATTAAGAAAAAAGATCCTGTTGGGAATGTTCTATGGATTAATGGTAGAGGACAAGTATAGGAGGAAATGATAGGAAAAAAAAAAACAGGTTGGATTAAGATGGAGAAAGGAAATTGTCATTTGGATTCAGAGCTGCACAGCTTGCCACTGTTGATCCTAGGCAGTTTACAAGAGAGGCCCTTGAGGTGAGGAGTGCGGGAAAGGTGCCTATGTATATGTATGAGAGTGACTGATTTTAGAAGACCAAGCCAAATATTTTAATTCTGTCAAGCTTATCTCTTAATAAACCAGGATCTGTTTCTCTTTACAGCTATCCAGCTGAGTGAAAGTGGAAGTGACTCGGATGTGGGATCTGGTGGGATAAGACCCAAACAGCCCCGCATGCTTCAGGAAAACACAAGGATGGGCATGGAAAATGAAGAAAGCATGATGTCCTATGTGGGAGATGGCGGGGAGGCTTCCCATGGTTTGGAGGATAGCAACATCAGGTAATTGGCAGCAACATGCTATAGGGCTGTGGCATCAGTTATCCAGCTACGATGTCAAAGGGCCCAGTATCAGATTGCTTTCATCCACCAAATATTTCCTGAGTGCCTACTAGGGCCAGGCACTGTGTTAGGCCCTGGAGATAGAAAGATGAGCAAGACATATCCTGCCCTGGAGGAGCTCACAGTTTAGTGAAAAAGACTAACATAAATAATCATTACAAATACCATGTGAGGCCAGGAGTTGTGGCTCATGCCTGTAATCCTAGCACTCTGGGAGGCTGAGGTGAGTGGATTGCTTGAGCTCAGAAAGTTTCAGAGACAAGGGAACAATTAACTGTGCCTTAAACGATGAATAGAAGTCTACAAAACAGATATTGTGGCAGTGAGTAAAGAGATCTT